ATATATGGATCCGCACGGATAACTCACGTGTTGCACGAACAACTCACGTGCTATAATATAATATCTCATAATCCGGATCCCGGCTCACTCAATCACAAATCTCTCCAGTCTCTCGGGCTCTGAATAATCATGAAATCATCTCAAACAATAGTGATATGATGCATGAATGATGAACAATAGAGACTGAGATAAAATAAACAAGTAAACTATGACTGAGTACAAACAACAATTAAACAGATAGTTCAACATGTACACGGCCTCTGTGGGTCCCTACAGTGCTAACATATAATCTAAACATGATTTGTGGTTCAATTTCTCTACCACATGGAGAATGTACATATAACAACATATTATTAAACTGAACAGTTCCATGGAATTTGACCAAGTCACAATTTGTACGGTGCACGCCTGTCACCTATTATGTGCGTTACCTCAAAACCGATCACATAACATATAAGCCGGGGTTTCATACCCTCAGGACAAAATTTAGAACTGTTACTTACCTCAAACTGTGTAATTCTTTATTATGTTGTGCCTTTGCCTCGCGAATCGACCTCCAAATGCCTCAAATCTAGCCACAATTAATTCAATTCAGTCAATACTAATTATAGGAATTAATTCTATATGAAAATACTAATTTTCCAATAAAATCTGAAATTTAACTCAAAAATTGCCTGTGGGGCACACGTCTCGAAATCCGACGAAACTCACAAAATTCGACAACCCATTCAATTACGAGTCAAACCATACTAATTTTATCAAATTCCAATAACAACTCGACCTCCAAATCTAACATTTTTATTCTTGAAAAGTTTTGCAAAAATCTTGATTTCTTCCATTTAAAATCCGACAACCCAGCTGATACTGAAAGCTCACATACGCACACGAATGCGTGGAAGGAATTCAAAGAGTTATGTTTCAAGNCGCACGGACAACTCACATGCTATAGTATCAATATCTGGATCCGCACGGATAACTCACGTGCTATAGTATAATATCTGGATCCACACGGAAAACTCACGTGCTATAGTATAATTTATGGATCTGCACTGACAACTCACGTGCTGCACGGACAACTCACATACTATAGCAAAATATATGGATCTGCACGGACAACTCATGTGTTGCACGAACAACTCACATGCTATAATATAATATCTCATAATCCGGACCTCAGCCTCACTCAATCATAAATCTCTCCAGTCTCTCTGGCTCTCAATAATCATGAAATTAGCCCAAAGAACAGTGATATGATGCATGAATGATGAACAATAGAAACTGAGATAAAATAAATAAGTAAACTGTGACTGAGTACAAACAATAATTAAACAGATAGTTCAACATGTACACGACCTCTGTGGGTCCCTACAGTGCCAACATATAATCTAAACATGATTTGTGGTTCAAATTCTCTACCACATGGAGAATGTACAGATAACAACATATTATTCAACTACACAGTTCCATGGAATTTGACAAAGTCATAATTTCTACGGTGCACGCCCACACGCCTGTCACCTATCATGTGCGTTACCTCAAAACGATCACATAACATATAATCCGGGGTTTCATACCCTCAGGACAAAATTTAGAACTATTACTTACCTCAAACTGTGTAATTCTTTATTATGCTATGCCTTTGCCTCGCGAATCGGCCTCCAAACGCCTCAAATCTAGTCACAGTTAATTCAATTCAGTCAATACTAATTATAGGAATTAATTCCATATGAAAATACTAATTTTACAACAAAATCCGAAATTTAACTCAAAAATTGCCCATGGGGCACACGTCTCGGAATCCGACGAAACTCACAAAATCCGACAACCCATTCAATTACGAGTCCAACCATTCCAATTTTATCAAACTTCGATAACAGCCCGACCTCCAAATTTAACATTTTCGTTCCTGAAAAGTTTTGCAAAAATCTTGATTTCTTCCATTAAAAATCTTACAACCCAGCTGATACTGAACGCTCACATACGCACATGAATGCATGGAAGGAATTCAAAGAGTTATGTTTCAAGCTGAATCAATTTTGCATGATAGAGTACAAGTCTGGGCTCTGATACCAACTTGTCATGACCCAAAAGTCCTAACCTGTCGTGCTGGCGCCTATCTCAATACTAGGCAAGCCGACAACCTCAATAAACCACAAAAACATAATATTTGAATTTCATAGAAAATCTCACAAATCACTAACATAAAATATATTCCCAAAACACGGTGTCACTAAATACATAAGCATCTAAATGATAACAAAGTCTAAATGCTAAAAACACTGTCTAAAAATATAGAACATTACAAAAAATTGAAAGGAAAGAGAGTCATGGTCTGCGGACGCCAAGAAGCCACCTCGATAATCTCCAACAGATAAACTCTGAGAACTAGCAACCGCCGTGTCCAGAAGTACCTGGATCTGCACAAGAGGTGCACGGTGTAATATGAGTACAACCAACTCAACAAGTAACAATACTAAATAAAGAACTGAAAGTAGTGACGAGCTTCACAGCTGAGTCCAATTACTGTAATTTCCAACACAATAAGGTAGGCATGCTTTCAAGTTCAACAATTGAGGCCAAAACAGTAATTTCATGTCAAGTTCAACTTTATCATAAAATAATCTCTATTAAAAATTTCCAAAAATAACAATGATATATGACAGCTAAAGTGCAATAGTAATGAAATCAAATGCAACCTCTCAGGACCACTGTCACTCAACCATTCCATTCACTCAGCACTCGCACTCAGTTGGTACCTGCTCTCACTAGGGGTGTATACAGATTTCGGAGGATCTCCTACAGTCCAAGCGCTATAATTCGCACGGACAACTCACATGCTATAGTATCAATATCTGGATCCGCACGGACAACTCACGTGTTATAGTATAATATCTGGATCCGCACGGAAAACTCACGTGATGCACGGACAACTCACGTGCTATAGTATAATTTATGGATTTGCACGGACAACTCACATGCTATAGTATCAATATCTGGATCCGCACGGACAACTCACGTGCTATAGTATAATTTATGGATTTGCACGGACAACTCACATGCTGCACGGACATCTCACATGCTATAGTATAATATATGGCTCCGCACGGATAACTCACGTGTTGCACGAACAATTCACGTGCTATAATATAATATCTCATAATCCGTACCTCGGCCTCACTCAATCATAAATCTCTCCAGTCTCTCGGGCTCTCAATAATCATGAAATCAGCCCAAACAACAGTGATATGATGCATGAATGATGAACAATAGAGACTGAGATAAAATAAACAAGTAAACTGTGACTGAGTACAAACATCAATTAAACAGATAGTTCAACATGTACACGACCTCTGTGGGTCCCTACAGTGCCAACATATAATCTAAACATGATTTGTGGTTCAATTTCTCTACCACATGAAGAATGTACAGATAACAACATATTATTCAACTACACAGTTTCATGGAATTTGACCAAGTCATAATTTCTACAGTGCATGCCCATACGCCCACACGCCCGTCACCTATCATATGTGTTACCTCAAAACCGATCACATAACATATAATCCGGGGTTTCATACCCTCAGGACAAAATTTAGAACTATTACTTACCTCAAACTGTGTAATTCTTTATTATGCTATGCCTTTGTCTCGCGAATCGGTCTCCAAACGCCTCAAATCTAGCCACAGTTAATTCAATTCAGTCAATACTAATTATAGGAATTAATTCCATATGAAAATACTAATTTTCTAACAAAATCCAAAATTTAACTCAAACATCGCCCGTGGGGGCCATGTCTCAGAATCCGACGAAACTCATAAAATCCGACAACCCATTCAATTACGAGTCCAACCATACTAATTTTATCAAATTCCGATAATAACTCAACCTCCAAATCTAACATTTTCGTTCCTGAAAAGTTTTGCAAAAGTCTTGATTTCTTCCATTCACTAAGCACTCGCACTCAGTAGGTACCTGCTCTCACTAGGAGTGTATACAGACTCTGGAGGAGCTCCTACAGCCCAAGCGCTATAATCCGCACGGACAACTCACATGCTATAGTATCAATATCTGGATCCGCACGGATAACTCACGTGCTATAGTATAATATCTGGATATACACGGAAAACTCACGTGCTATAGTATAATTTATGGATCTGCACTGACAACTCACGTGCTGCACGGACAACTCACATACTATAGTATAATATATGGATCCGCACGGACAACTCACGTGTTGCACGAACAACTCACCTGCTATAATATAATATCTCATAATCCGGACCTCAGCCTCACTCAATCATAAATCTCTCCAGTCTCTCTGGCTCTCAATAATTATGAAATCAGCCCAAAGAACAGTGATATGATGCATGAATGATGAACAATATAGACTGAGATAAAATAAACAAGTAAACTGTGACTGAGTACAAATAACAATTAAACAGATAGTTCAACATATACACGACCTCTGTGGGTCCCTACAGTGCCAATATATAATCTAAACATGATTTGTGGTTCAATTTCTCTACCACATGAAGAATGTACAGATAACAATATATTATTCAACTACACAGTTTCATGGAATTTGACCAAGTCATAATTTCTACGGTGCACGCCCATACGCCCACACGCCTGTCCCCTATCATATGCGTTACCTCAAAACTGATCACATAACATATAATCCAGGGTTTCATACCCTCAGGAAAAAATTTAGAATTGTTACTTACCTCAAACTCTGTAATTCTTTATAATGTTATGCCTTTGTCTCGCGAATCGGCCTCCAAACGCCTCAAATCTAGCCACAGTTAATTCAATTCATTCAATACTAATTATAGGAATTAATTCCATATGAAAATACTAATTTTACAATAAAATCCAAAATTTAACTCAAAAATCGCCCATGGGGCACACGTCTCGGAATCCGACGAAACTCACAAAATCCGACAACCCATTCAATTACGAGTCCAACCATTCAAATTTTATCAAATTTCGATAACAACCCGACCTCCAAATCTAACATTTTCGTTCCTGAAAAGTTTTGCAAAAATCTTGATTTCTTCCATTTAAAATCTGACAATCCAGCTGATACTGAACGCTCACATACGCACACGAACGCGTGGAAGATATTCAAAGAGTTATGTTTCAAGCTGAATCAATTCCGCAAGATAGAGTACAAGTCTGGGCTCTGATACCAACTTGTCACGACCCAAAAGTCCTAACTTGTCGTGTTGCCGCCTATCTCAAAATTAGGCAAACCGACAACCTCAATAAACGACAATATTTTTTAAGTTTGAAAACATAATATTTGAATTTCATAGAAAATCTCACAAATCACTGACATAAAATACATTCCCAAAATACGGTGTCACTGAGTAAACTGAGAACTAGCAACCATCGTGTCCAGAAGTACCTGGATCTGCACAAGAGGTGCAGGGTGTAATATGAGTACAACCAACTCAACAAGTAACAATACTAAATAAAGAACTGAAAGTAGTGACGAGCTTCACAGCTGAGTCCAATTACTGTAATTTCCAACACAATAAGGTAGGCATGCTTTCAAGTTCAACAATTGAGGCCAAAATAGTAATTTCATGTCAAGTTCAACTTTATCATAAAATAATCTCTATTAGAAATTTCCAAAAATAACAATGATATATGACAGCTGAAGTGCAATAGTAATGAAATCAAATGCAACCTCTCAGGACCACTGTCACTCAACCATTCCATTCACTCAGCACTCGCGCTCAGTTGGTACCTGCTCTCACTAGGGGTATATACAGACTTCGGAGGATCTCCTACAGTCCAAGCGCTATAATCTGCACGGACAACTCACATGCTATAGTATCAATATCTGGATCCGCACGGACAACTCACGTGCTATAGTATAATATCTGGATCCGCACGAAAAACTCACGTGCTGCACGGACAACTCACGTGCTGAACGGACAACTCACATGCTATAGTATAATATATGGATCCGCACGGATAACTCACGTGTTGCATGAACAACTCACGTGCTATAATATAATATCTCATAATCCGGACCTCGGCCTCACTCAATCATAAATCTCTCCAGTCTCTCGGGCTCTCAATAATCATGAAATCAGCCCAAACAACAGTGATATGATGCATGAATGATGAACAATAGAGACTGAGATAAAATAAACAAGTAAACTGTGACTGAGTACAAACATCAATTAAACAGATAGTTCAACATGTACAGGACCTCTGTGGGTCCCTACAGTGCCAATATATAATCTAAACATGATTTGTGGTCCAATTTCTCTACCACATGAAGAATGTACGGATAACAATATATTATTGAACTACACAGTTTTATGGAATTTGACCAAGTCATAATTTCTACAGTGCACGCCCATACGCCCTCACGCCCGTCACCTATCATATGCGTTACCTCAAACCGATCACATAACATATAATCCGGGGTTTCATACCCTCAGGACAAAATTTAGAACTGTTACTTACCTCAAACTGTGTAATTCTTTATTATGATATGCCTTTGTCTCGCAAATCGGTCTCCAATCGCCTCAAATCTAGCCACAGTTAATTCAATTCAGTCAATACTAATTATAGGAATTAATTCCATATGAAAATACTAATTTTCTAACAAAATCCAAAATTTAACTCAAACATCGCCCGTGGGGGCCATGTCTCGGAATCCGACGAAACTCATAAAATCCGACAACCCATTCAATTACGAGTCCAACATACAAACTTTATCAAATTCCGATAATAACTCAACCTCCAAATCTAACATTTTCGTTCTTGAAAAGTTTTGCAAAAGTCTTGATTTCTTCCATTTAAATCCGAAATAAATAATGAATATAACCATGGATTTATGAAATATAATTACTTTTAGATATAGGACACTTACCCAAGTCGTAGTTGTGAAGAAATCCTCAAAATCGCCCAAGAACCTTGCTCCAAAAATCCAAAACGAAATGAAGGAAATGACCATTTTTTATTCTTAAGTTTCTGCCCATCCATTACTAAAAGTCCACCCCAGAACTTGTTTGCACCGGCTCTAAATATAATATAGAAAATACGGAAACGAGCCCCAAACATCGGGGTGTCACTAAGTCATGAGCATCTAAAACTATAAACTAAGATATATAAACTGTCTAACTATCCAAAAGAAGAAATGATAAAAGGAGTAACAAGGTCCTGCGGATGCTAGCATCTACCTTGCAATCTCCACAGATAGCCGGCCTGAACTCAACGATCGCCACGCTCTGACTCACATACACATAAAGTGCAGGGTGTAGTATGAGTACAACCGACTCAGTAGTAACAGAAATAACTAAGGAACTGAGCAGTAGTGACGAGTTAAGTAAAACAGTCCAATTATTTATTTTCACAATTTAAAAATAAACAAAAATAAACATGTAAATTTCATAACTCAGTAAATGCCACAAAGAAGTTTAATAGATAAATGCAACAACAACATAAATAAATACAACCTCACAGCAGTGTCACTCCATCACTCATCACTCACACTCAGCACTCAACACTCAACACTCTGTGCTCACTGGGGGTGTACAGACTCCGGAGGGGCTCCCAAAGCCCAAGCGCTAAGCACGGACAACTCACGTGCCATCCTATCAATACCTGGATCCGCACGGTCAACTCACGTGCTACGCGGACAACTTACGCGCTATGGTATCAATACCTGGACTCGCACGATCAACTCATGTGCTACGCGGACAACTCACGCGCTATGGTATTAATATCCTCACAACCAGGCCCTCGGCCTCACTCAATCATGTACCTCACTAGCCTCACCATCATCAACAAATAAGGGAACACAGCCCACATCAAGTATCACAGCATATTAGCAAATAATAGAGACTGAGGTAAACATGTACAATAAATTCTATGATTGAGTACAAATAATATGAGTATGAATAAAGCCTAAGCATGATCTCTAACATGAAGGCAGACAAGCTCAACAACAAGTAACTACGTAAACACAGATGATGGCCATGAGGCCTCACGGGACTGACTAAGTCTCAATCCCTCGAGGTATACACCCATACGCTTGTCACCTAGCGTGAGTATCACCTCCAAACAGTGACACGATATCAAATTCTCCGGGTTTATACCCTCAAAGCCAGAGTTAAAACTGTTGCTTACCTTAACATCGTAAAATCCTACTCCGGGATACCCTTGTCTCTGGATTCAGTCTCCAAAAGCTCCAAATCTAACCATAATCAGATTAATACCATCAACATAGGCTAACGAATCGAATTCCACAATAAAAACTACAAAATACGCCAAAAATCCGAAACCAGCCAAAACCCGGCCCCCGGGCCCACGTATCCAAACCAGCCAATAATGGCTGAATCAAAACTCTCATCCTCTCCCGAGTCTAACCATATAAAATTTATCAAAATCGGACTCCGTTTGGTCCCTCAAAACAACTCTCCTAAAACTCTCCAAAATTTCAAGCCCTAACTCCCTCAATTTCACTTTGAAATCATCAATCAAATCCCAAAAACGAAGATGGATTCATAAAATATAACCAAAACTGAGTAGAGAACACTTACCTCAATCCTTATGGTGAAAGTCTCCCCCAAAATTGCCCAAATCCGAGCTCCCCAACCAGGGGCGGATCTATGTACAAGCTTGAGGGTGCCACGCCACCCGGGCGACTTGGTTGAAACTCTATGTATATATGCATGTAGCTGTATATATGTAGAAGACATTGACTAAATATTAATGTTTACGCCCAAAAGAAAAAGCTGGCGCACGGTGCCAGTGGTAGAAGAGCAGCCTTTTCTCCCAAGGCGCGCGAGTTCGATATGGTTATGCCGTTTATCCTTCTCCAAATCATCATCTTTCGGCCGATCACCACTAAAATAAATATTATGGGATTGCTACCAATAAAGTTTAATATTTTAATTTTGATAAAATAAATAAATTAATAAAACAGGAATACTACACTAGGTTTGTTGTTGTTATTGTTGTAAAGCATGAGTAATTTGAAACAACCCATCTATCTCCACAAGATAGGGATAAGGTTTGTGTTCACGCTACTCTCCTCGCTAAAATAAATATTATGGGATTGCTACCAATAAAGTTTAATATTTTACTTTTGATAAAATAAATAAATTAATAAAGCAGGAATACTACACTAGGTTTGTTGTTCTTGTTATTGTTGTAAAGCATGAGTAATTTGAAACAACCCCTCTATCTCCACAAGATAGGGGTAAGGTTTGTGTTCACGCAACTCTTCTCAAACTCTCACTATGTAGGATTATACTAGTATGTTGTTGTAGTAAAACATGAGTAATTGATATAAATTCACCAAATCCTTATGCCAGATGCAAATGACGACAGCCATTTGTGGGTTTGCTTCAGTTTCTACAATTCTACTGCTGAATATGGTTTGAGGACATGAGTGATAGATTAAAAAAAAGTGATTCCTCCTCCCTAGCGAATTAGGATTCAGAGTTTCTCCCATAATCTTGCTATGAAATTGTAGAACTTCATGATGGGGAATACCATGGCCAGGGAGAGCACTTCTGCACAATGTGGCACAATGTGAATTTCGTCGCTGACTTGTGCTATGTTCGTTGGAATACCAATGCACATTAGGATTCGGGCAGCCAATATGTTGAGAAGTGTTATTAGTATTTGTTGCAGTGTTGAGGACAATCCGTGCTCTTTAAGAAGTGTTACTAGATATATTAACCCTCTTTGTGCACACCACCACCCCTTGTGGTGGTACAGTTGGAAATTAACAGCGTCTAATACTCTTGTTTGAAACAACTAACAACTTTTATGTAAACGAAAAAGACGAATAACTCGAACTGAAATCTAAAGTTGATCAAAACCGATGTATTAAAATTTACTCTGTTTGGATCGGGTAAATAACAATACGTTTATGTTTAAAGTAGTATGGCATCCGCAACCTAGAAATTCCGGATCCGCCTCTGTCCCCAACTCAAAATATGACCGAATGAACAAACCCCCGTTTTATATATTTTTCTGCCAGCTATTTTGCCTCGTTTCTCATGCCAAACAATCCCGAAACTTGCTTTTTATGCTCCAATGGATTTCTTGTGAAATTTTAGTCAAGTTAGGCTTTTGAATCACTCAATTTGACCATATAATGAAGGAGATATGTAGGTTTTAATATTTGCAAATCGTGCAGATTTTTAAATACACCGTTAGTGGTAATTTCGTAATTAGTCTGAAACATCTAGCAACCTAATTCTTAGTAAAATGACCATAAAATTCTCATACAATGTCCAAATTCGATGATTCTTTTTGCTACGGGTCCGTAATTACGATACGGATCTAATGCTTCAATCAAAAAAGAAATCGGAGCTCATTTGTTCAATATGATATCATTTATGCTTGATAAAACGACGTCGAAACATAAAAAAACGAGCGCAACACAACCCAAACCTATTCGAAACTCACCCGAGGCCTTCGGTACCTCAATCAATAAATCCAACAAGTCATATATCACTACCTGAACTTAGTCGAACCTCCGGAACACCCAAAAAAAAACCAAAATACCAAATCAACCTTGAATTCAAGCCTAAGAACTTCTAAACTTCCAAAATTCGCCAACGACAACGAAACCTATCAAACCACGTCCAAATGACCTCAAATTTTGCACACACGTCAAAAATGACACTATGAACCTACTCCAACTCCCGGAATTCCAATCTGACCCCGATACCTAATTTTTCACCGCCGACCAACACATAAAGAAGCAGGAATGGGGGAAACAGGGCTATAACTCTCGGAACGACTGGCCGGGTCGTTACATCCTCCCCCTCTTAAACAAACGTTCGTCCTCGAACGTACCAAGAGTTGTTCTCAAAACCATCAAGAACTTTCTCCGAACCCCAATGGCGCAAAACCAATCCGTCAGGACTGAATCCTTCTAACTCAACCAAACTGCGCAGACCACCAAAAACCCAAGGACATTGCCATAGAACACTTGTAGAACTCATTACCTCATACACACCCAAAGAACTAATCATACCCATTACCATGCTCATCCAACCTACTACCAAGATGTCCTATCTATCCGAGTTTCTTCTGAATTACCTTCAAATTGATACTTTGCCCCGCCATAACACCACAATCCTCAACCCAGACTCACAATACGAGACCCAAGCATAAAAACACACCGCCCTAAGGGTCATAAGCCGCAGAATACTCTCTTAAATATCCCCAAAAGTACCACAAGCACGCGCTCACACAATCAACACCTCAGTGCTCAAGCTACAGTCAAAACCCGGCCTCATGTCCTCTAGACTGGGCCGACATCAACACACAGAAATCACATCTCGCACCTCATCCAGGGAATCACAAGCAGTCGATGCACAACTGATACCGAGCGCCCATGTGTGCATACGAATGCGTGGAAAGAATTCAAAGAGTTACACTTCAAGCTGAATCAATATCGCACGAAAAGAATTCAAGAATGTGAAGTTTTCCTAAAGGTTCTGCAGCCACTTGAAGATAAGTACAAACGTCTCCGTACCAATCCGCAAGACTCTACTAAACCCGCTCATGACTCGTGAGACCTATGTAACCTAGGCTCTGATACCAACTTGTCACGACCCAAAATCTAACCATGGTCGTGATGGCGCCTATCATGTTATAAGACAAGCCTATTTCCCAAAATATTACTACTAAATCGATTATAAGAATTTAATAAAACAATACCAATATTTGAATTTCTCATAAACTAAATCAACTCTAAATATAATATAGAAAATACGGAAACGAGCCCCAAACATCGGGGTGTCACTAAGTCATGAGCGTCCAAAACTATAAACTAAGATATATAAATTGTCTAACTATCCAAAAGAAGAAGTGATAAAAGGAGTAACAAGGTCCTGCGGACGCTTGCATCTACCTTGCAATCTCTACAGATAATCGGCCTGAACTCAACGATCGTCGCGCTCTAACTCACCTGGATGTGCACAATAAGTGCAGGGTATAGTATGAGTACAACCAACTCAGTAGTAACAGAAATAACTAAGGAACTGAGCAGTAGTGACGTGCTAAGTAAAACAGTCCAATTATTTATTTTCACAATTTAAAAATAAACAGAAATAAACAGGTAAATTTCATAACTCAGTAAATGCCACAAAGAAGTTTAACAGATAAATGCAACAACAACACAAATAAATACAACCTCACAGCACTTTCACTCCATCACTCTTCACTCGCACTCAACACTCAACATTCAACACTCTACGCTCACTAGGGGTGTGTACAGACTCCGGAGGGGCTCCCAAAGCCCAAGCGCTAAGCACGGACAACTCACGTGCCATCATATCAATACCTGGATCCGCACGGTCAACTCACATGTTACGCGGACAACTCACGTGCTATGGTATTAATACCTGGACTCGCACGGTCAACTCACATGCTACGCGGACAACTCACGCACTATGGTATTAATATCCTCACAACCAGGCCCTCGGCCTCACTCAATCATGTACCTCACTAGCCTCACCATCATCAACAAATATGGGAACACAACTCACATCAAGTATCATAGCATATTAGCAAATAATAGAGACTGAGGTAAACATGTACAATAAATTCTATGACTGAGTACAAATAATATGAGCATGAATAAAGCCTAAGCATGATCTCTAACATGAAGGCAGACAAGTTCAACAACAAGTAACTACGTAAACACAGATGATGGCCATGAGGCCTCACGGGACTGACCAAGTCTCAATCCCTCGAGGTATACACTCACACGCCTGTCACCTAGCGTGAGTATCACCTCCAAACAGTCACACGATATCAAATTCTCCGGGTTTATACCCTCAAAGCCAGAGTTAAAACTGTTGCTTACCTTAACATCGTAAAATCCTACTTCGGGATGCCCTCGTCTCTGGACTTGGTCTCCAAAAGCTCAAAATCTAACCATAATCAGATTAATACCATCAACATAGGCTAACGAATCGAATTCCATAATAAAAAATACAAAATATGCCAAAAATCCGAAACCGACCAAAACCCGGCCCCCGATCCCACGTCTCCAAACCAGTCAACAATGGCAGAATCAAAACCCCCATCCTCTCCCGAGTCTAACCGTATAAAATTTATCAAAATCGGACTCCGTTTGGTCCCTCAAATCCCTACCTAAAACTCTCCAAAAATTCAAGCACTAACTCCCTCAATTTCACTTTGAAATCATCAATCAAATCCCAAAATCGAAGATGGATTCATGAAATATAACTAAAACTGAATAGAGAACACTTACCCAAATCCTTTTGGTGAAAATCGCCCCCAAAATCCTCCAAATCCGAGCTCCCCAACTGAAAATATGACCGAATGAACAAATCCTCATTTTATATATTTTTCTGCCACCTATTCTGCCTCGTTTCTCCTGCCAAACGATCACGAAACTTGCTTTTTATGCCTCCAATGGATTTCTTGTGAATATTTAGTCAAGTTAGGCTTTTGAATCACTCAATTTGACCTTATAATGAAGGAGATATGTAGGTTTTAATATTTGCAAATCGTGCAGAATTTTAAATACACCGTCAGTGGTAATTTCATCATTAATCTGAAACATCTAACAACCTAATTCTTAGTAAAATAACCATAAAATCCTCATACGATGTCCAAATTCGACGATTCTTTTTGCTACGGGTCCGTAATTACGATACGGATCTAATACTTCAATCAAAAAAGAAATCGAAGCTCATTTGTTCAATATGATATCATTTATGCTTGATAAAACGACGTCGAAACATAAAAAAAACGAGCGCAACACAACCCAAACCTATCCGAAACTCACCCGAGGCCCTCGGGACCTCAACCAATAAATCCAACAAGTCATATATCACTACCTGAACTTAGTCGAACCTCCGAAACACCCAAAACAATACCAAAACACCAAATCAACCTCGAATTCAAGTCTAAGAACTTCTAAACTTCCAAAATTCGCCAACGACGCCGAAACCTATCAAACCACGT